AAGTCAGCTGAGTTTAGCTGAACGTTTTGTTATTTTTTCCCGTGGTCACAAGCATGTGAGAGAAAAATGGCTTCTGGTTTATACCAGCAGTGCTGGGCTGCAAGTTTGGTATCTTCCCGACTCACTCGATGGAACATCGGGTGGAGCTAACCTGGCTCATGGCTCAGCTTCAGAAAAGGGAGATACCACGTCTCGAGTGTCCAGACTCCAACGCAATAGCAATTACCTGAGAAATACCAACTTTGCTCAAGATGCTCTTCACGTCCCGCCCCCCAGCTCATGCTATAGAAGCATCGAACTGCACAGAAAAAATTGTGACGTTTGCTCACAGATGGCTTTCGTGGGTTAGTAATACCAACTACCCACCAGGTCCCATTCAGCTGAGTGCTGTACAAATGCACGGAGAGCAGCCGTCCCTGACTTGCTGAGCCTATGAGCCATTCAGACCTCATTAGTGAGATTAGCTGGGTGCTTCAGATTAAGGTTGATTTGCACGAAGAGCAAAGGAACCTGTGCATGGTCCTCGCTCACGGCAGAGCCAGCGCTGTTAGTCAAAAATATTCCCGATGTCTAGGGCAAGCAAATATAAGCACAGGCTGATCATGCCCAGTTTTGAACGCAGAAACATCCAGGTTCTACTTGGGACCCTAACTGAGGGGCAGATGGATGTCTGAGCAGCTGACGCTGCAGTTAGCAGCAATTTGGTAGTGATGGCAAAACAGGTTTCCGCTCCTGCCCATGAAGAGCGGGTATGGATGAGCTGGAGAAGCTGCAGCTGGGGCTTTGCTGCTGTTCCCGGGCCTGGTTCAGCCCCAGCACACCCTGAAACATCCGCAGCGCCACTTCTGCGAGGCGCTACGAGGTGACAGGCAGCGTGGCCAAGGCACCGTGACGTTCGAGCCGCTCAGTAGTGGTGCAGCTTTCCTCCCCGTGCGGCTGGCTGCGAGGCACCCCCCAGCCCTCGAGGGACGGCAGCCCAGCCTGCCTCTCCAGGCTCGGGCGCTGGTCGCTGCGTACACGCGCAGCGCTGCCTCTGCTCAAACCTGGTTTGTTGGAACAGGGGTACGCAGACGGAAAATTAAAAGTAGACGATTCAGAAAGAAAGTGCCAGGCCTTCTTGCTGTGCAGGGTCAGCTCCTGGAATTAATTGCTGCAGGACGTCAAGAAGTTAAAATTTAGCAGGATTCAAGAGAGGATTAGACAGTCCTATGATCAGGAACATTTGTGCAATGCTAACTGGGTCAAAGAAATACAAGAGAAATTAAGCGTTGTGCTTCCCTGAAGGGCTGAGCTGGTACCAGCCGGATTTAAAAGAGATTCCTCCCCACCTCCCCTTCCCAATCT